TTTTCCCAAGGTGCAGACTGCAGAGCTTTGCGCACTGATTGAGGCCGGTGACTCGGTTAAGTGGAGCAACGGTTCGTTGGGAACAAATCAGACAGGTGGCTGCAGTGAGTTATGTAACGAAGCAGGTTTAGATTTAGTGATGTCACTACTATGATGACGTCACATGCAAAAATTTCGTCATCACCGGCGCACCATCGTCATTCCAGGCCCTGCCATCGCTAGAGAATCTTCGTGATCGCTGTAATGATTCATCAACAGCTGGGGTATCCAGTAAATATACAAAAATCCGTCATTAGTGCCCCGTCGTTGTCACCACGGAGTGCTACATTACCTATGCATACCAAACACGCACAGTGCACATGCAAACACATAATATCTAGAAGGGTCAACATTTCCCGCACGGAAGCATCCAACGGCTAATCATCTAGCGGTGTGAGCTGACCGCTCTTAGCCATGAAATTTATTTTATTGCAATGTCATCGCAGCACCGAGATCCGAGAATTTTTGGGCAGTTCCATGCTGCCTGTTGGCCCTGAATGAAGGATACCGGTTTCCGACCGGTGACAGTGGCTATATGGTTGGATAATGAACTGGGTGTGTTGTCATGCCGAGGGGATGAATCCTTCAGATGATAACTTCTTCATATAGGTACCTAGTAGTTATTTACTTAGATTCCTGGTGACTGTCCAATTACCAATCGGCCATTATGAAATGGAGCGAGAAGCTGGGTGCATCCGGATATCGACCAATAAACACTTTATCTAATCTAAAACGACTGAGGCCAATACCAACAAATAACGATGCTGCATACCTACCGACACTGACAGATCCAGAGGGGAGGGGTTGAGGCAAATGCCCCCCCCCCCCGCAGCGCGCGAAATTGATTTTTTTTGCGGTTATTCGAGAATGAAACGAAAACTAAACAACTTTTATCAGGAAAAGTTTGTTTTAAACTAGACAGCGATGCGTATGGTATCAAAATCCGATAATTTTTTGGAATTTTAAGACACTTTTTGGGCGTATAACGCCCCCCGCGGCGTCGAGACCGCCTTTCTGTAGCCGCCAGTGCATAAGGATGTTGCATGCAGAGAAGCGGCGAGATCCGAGCTGCTTTCGAGCCGAGTACGAGACCGCGAAGCTAGTCATACAAGGTCAATGTTACGCCGCGAGGAGCCTGGAACCGAAAGAGTCGCATTTTGTTTACACTAAAAAATGAAAATGTAGGGGAAGACGGGGGAACACCGATCCCCTTAATCTTTTAGGGTCTAGTCACGTAATTTTTGGCCCAATGATTAAAATCTCAGTTTCATTGGATTGTCGCATCAATTTTACATCGTATCAACCAATTGTTTTATTGTAGTGTCGTTCATGATTGCACTATTCCACATTTAGTAAATGTCTAAATTTTTGGGGGTAACAGCGACCGTTGGGTAACACCGCCCAAGCTCAGGAGGCAACGAAATTTGCAGAATGCTGGACTATTCAGTTGTTCTTCTTATCGTAAATTTCGAGGCGTTTTAGTACATTTATAAAATACAATGGAAACGATTTTATTATATCCCTATAAGTAGGTAATATCTACCTACTTATTGCTAATAAATAATTTCATAGATATTGGTGCAAAGGACATAACCCTCGCCGGACCTATTCGTTTGCTTTATACGCCCCGGCCGAGAGCGGAAGGGGTACGACCCCCCATCGCCGTTTCGCCCCTAATTACATAAACTAGAGCCTCGCGATAAAACGAGCGTATGCACGGTTACAAGACGCAGCGACTGGTACCCGATTTTAACCCTCGCCGGCACAGGCCATTTTGAGTCCTTCGACGGCACAAGGGGGGTTGGTACGACCCCCCCCCCCTCGCGTTTGGCCCCTGATCGAGCTAGAGCTTCGCGGAAAAAAACGAGCGTGTTGCCCGTCACGAGAGGAAGCCGATGATACCCAATTTTAAGGTCCTAGGTCATCGGGTGACCTTCCAGGTCAGGTCAATGACCCGAAAACCGGGAAAATCGGGACCTGTTAGAAAGTCGTAAAGTGTGGCTGCTATAAGGTTTTCCGGGGTGCTGATCACGAATATCGTGTTAGTTTTGATCAGAGATGATGTCTTTAAGCATTTAGACCAGGTCGGGTCAGGTCAGGTCAGGTCAACCGGTAGGGGTTGTGACGGGTATTCGTAATACGTGTCAACCGCCTCGGACAGCTTCGTAGCATGTTACGAAGGCACCAAAACTACTTCGTAAATGTTCAAATGGTTGCTAAATTCGAATTCAGCTCCAAAAACTAGCCTAGAAACATGTAAAACTCGAAAAAGTGAACCGAGGTCACCCGAGGTCACCAAAGGTCAATGACCTGACCTGACCTTCAGGTGACCTTGACACCCACCCTAATGCATGGGAGCAACATCAAATCACACGTTTGAACGTTTGAAACGACGAAAAGCTTGCAAACGCGCGGCTAATGCGAGCCGACATGCGCCGAACCGCGATTTCGGCCAAACATGGTCACAGAAAAGAGGTCACAGGTCAAAGGTCATTGGGGTCAGGGTCATGAAATTTTCAGGGTAGGTGTAAAATTGATCAATGCGAGGGTACTGAAAGTTTCGTCGCGATCGGCCGCTTTTTACGCGAGTTATTCGCGAAAAACCTTAGGGGGGGTTGCATCAACCCCCCCCCCCCTGTGCCGGCGAGGGTTAAGGTCTTAGGAGTTAGGTCAACTAGTCATCTCTAAGGTCATGTCAATGACCAAAGGCACGGGTTCGGTTTTTGGTAAATAACTTCGCCAACAATGGCTGCAGAGCCGCGAAAATGGCACCATCGTGTTTGTCTTGCTCTGGCGCGTCGAATGGTATACTTTTGTTTGGGTGAGGTCAACATAAAGTGTTGACCTATGTTGACATTAACCCGCGCACCGACGGGGGTCTGCGCCAACTTAGTACCGACGGGGGGGGGCGGATGACCGCCCCCCCCTGAGATCTCGAGAACGAAGCAAGATAGCGACAAGCGGTAAACGGCATCGGATACGCACGGACAAGGTCTACAATTTTTACAAAGGTCATTTTCAGGTCAGGTCCAAGATGACGTCACAGGGGTCGAAAAAGTCAAAATGGCGGCGCTAGATATGGAGAGGGTTTTTTCTCGAATAACTCTCGAAGTAGTCAAGATAGGAACAAACTAAGGGCATCATCGTGATCCTCTCGTCAATCCGCATCGAATGATATATATGTTGACCTCGAAAGGTCAAGGTCAAAGGTTGACCTCAGGTCACGTGACCTTGAGGTCATCATGTATATCATTCGATGCGTCTTGACGAGCTGAACACAATGAGACCATCCGCGCGGCTGTATCTTGTTCCTGTAAGGAGTTATTGGCAAAAAACCTTTGGTGACCTTTGATGACGTCACATGACCTTACAGCTGCCCAACAGCAAAACAGACCTCAAGGTAGTGAAGGTTGATCGTATGTGAAGTCATGTATGGTATATGGGGCCATTCCGACCCGTTTTAGTGGTAAAAACAGGGAGTTGATTTTTCCCCCATTGACTTATAATGGGGAGGTCGCGAAATTGACCTGACCTTAGGTCACCGACATCAAAATTCCGAGATATACAAATTGTAGCTACTAATGACCTAATAACATCCTGCGACTTTCAAAGGCCTCCGACATCTACTGTAGCTCTGGCACGGTGACAAAGTTGCAAAAAAGTGACTTGAGGTTGGGTCATTCAAAGTGACCTGGTGACCTGACCTTAAAAGTTAGGAAGTTCAAACTTGCACACCATGTGTAAAATTGATGAGAAAATAGTCATACCAAATTTCGCGGCGCTACGCGCCGCGGTTTTCCCGCTATCCGCGAAAAACCTCAGGGGGGGGCGGATATCCGCCCCCCCCCCGTCGGTGCGCGGGTTAAGGTCAACACAGGTCAACATTAACATAAGGTGTTGACCTCGGGCCAAGGTCAGGTCAGAGCCCCTCAGGTCACGAAGCTCGTCGAAGGAGGTCGTATCGCATACTACTTACGTAGAATAACGGAAATTTCTGAGTATGAGCGGCCGGCCGGCCGCTCATACTCATACTCAGACCTGCATTCGAATTGGCAGGTCTTCCCGACTTCATTGGTAACTTTCCCAGCTCGCTAGCTGAATTCGATCGGTTATACGGGCGAAAAACTTTTATGACCCTAGCGATGTTATGAATGACGTCAGGCAAGGTCAACGATGCAACAGTGAAGCATTGAAATTTGAACCTTGCAAGTAGTTCATGAAAGCACGATTCCATGTGCTTAAGCTAGGCTTGGATTATTCACGGCGCTAAAAGAACAAGTTCCATATTTCCCCATGGACTCAGGTGTAGGGAATGGTGAGGTCACGTGATCGACCTGATCTCATGTGACCTTAAGGAAAATCCGAGATATACAAGTTGTGAGACCTCTGGAGGATACTATGGCTCCTGCAAGTTTCTGCGCACTAGCATAGCTCCCTCCGACAGCTCCTCTGGCAATTAGAGCATTGCGAAGTTGCGACATTTATGGCGTCATATATGACGCCTACATGTACATAGGTCAGTGCCCCTGAAAATGCGGTTGGTGTCACAAGATCCAGCTTAAATCAAAGGTCAGGTATGCCAAGTTTCAACTGTCTATCGCCGGCGTGTTCTGAGCTATCGCGAAAAAATCCTATGGCGGGCGGTACCCTCCCCCCTCGGCCGGCGAGGGTTAGAGGTAACATTCAACACCACTATCGAAGATACATGTTTAAAAATAGCTAATAGCAGTTCATTCATACGTTTCTGAGGGATATCTCTCAGAAGACCAAAGCGACAAGATTCTATAAAACACCAATTACTGCTATACAATGCCAATAAACGCTTACTTGAAACCATCTCAATGTCATGCGTGTCCGTTTCTGAAAAAAAAACTTATTTTACCCTTAGTCCAGCAGCGCAGACAGGTATAGAGCTGAGATATTACCAGCAGTTTACACAGACCGGATTTCTATCAGCTGACCTCCAAATGGAACCGGCTCCGTCTGGATCTTCGCTCCTGTGATCGCCAAGAAAATCCACCTCTCTTGCAAAACTGTCGACGGCGCTCTTCCTGCCTCGGCCTGTGCAAGGCCAGGCGGCCCGGCCGTGACTGCGGCGGTCGCCCGCAGCTCGCGGCGCGCGGCGCCCGCTGCGGTGGGGTTTGCCGAAAGACGCGTATCCGGCCGACCACGTGGCCATGCACGGAGGGCTGGGATCAGCGGCGGCATGTCACCCAACTGGTGCCGGCAGTTCTGTGCGTCAGAGCTCGTCCCTCACTGGGGCAGTAGTGGAACGGCTGAAGGCTGCGGCGTGCGCAGGGTGATTGATCATGGGGCGCACTCGGAATTCATATGAATCGTAGAGAATTAGTGATGTTGTACTGCAACAGACACGGGCGCACAGGTGCATTGTTCCGTGATTAACCCGCGCCCTGCTGGGGGGGGGGGGTGTTTGAACACCCCCCCTTGTGGTTTTTCGCGAATATCTCAAAAACGGCGGCGCGGAGCGCCGCCGTTTTTGGTACACCTTATCATACATCAATTCTACACATGTTGTGAAAATTTCAGACCAAGGTCATTCAAGGTCAGGTCACCAGGTCACTTGAAGTGACCTCACCTCATAAAAAGTTTCAATGTCTGTCATAGCTACACCGAGTGACCGATCGCTTTGAAACTTTCAGCGTTTGCTGAGAGCAATAGCATGTACAAAATGTATATCTCAGACTTTTGATATCGATGACCTAAGGTCAGGTCAATTTTGCGACCTCCCCATTACAAGTCAATGGGAGAAAATTGAAATGCGCCTCTTTTGGACGAAAGACATTATAAACACTCCCAAACACTGAATTACAAGTGGTTTAGACACACTGAACATGAAAATGGTGTCTGTGACCCCTGTTTATGCCCTGAGGTCATCTTAGGTCACGAATGGTATCTAACAGTTTTTCGCAAATAACTTTTGATAGAGGCATGCTAGAGCGATGAAAACGCCTTAGATGTGTTCAGCTCGACGATACGGATCGACTGATATGCAACATGACCCTTTCCGGTCAGGTCATGACCTTGACCTGAGGTCAAATTTTCAAGTTGACCTTTCAAGGTCAAGTTATAGTTCATTCGATGCGTCTTGACGAAAGGAACACGATGTCGGTAAAAGTAAGCTCGTACAAGGCTTGGGTCAGAAGTTATTGCAGAAAAACTGTTTCCGAAAAAATCGGCTATTTTTGCAGTTTTTGCCCCCTGCAGGCAAAACCGTTGACGTTAGGTCAAATCTGAGAGAATTACTCAGAAAGGGCGTTAATAGGGCTATCGAATGCGCTTTTCCGCGGCGCTGTAGCTCTATTGGTTCCCGAGTTATGCGTTGGCTTCTTGGAAATTGTCCACATTCGACCTAGAAATCGGCGAAATTTTGCCTTCAATGACCTCTGGTGACCTGACCTTTGACCTGACCAAAAAATTGACCAAAGTGATTTCCTCATTATTTTTGACGCTCTTTCGAACGCCGCCTTCCGCGTATCGCTACGTGGCCCAGGAGCCGAGTTAGAAGGGGGGGGGGGTGTTCAAACACCCCCCCCCCCCCCCAGCAGGGCGTGGAAATCCAGGACCCCCAGCCGGGCGCGGGTTAAGTATGAGACGCATATAGTATTGTTCCTCAATAAAGGCATAAGACTGAACTAAAATGTGTGGTTTGTCCTCAGAAGATTGAAAGATGATCTTATCATCCAAGCAGTAAACAGAGTTTTGAGTTTGTTTTCCGGCGCGGGCCCACGACAGGAGGGAGTGGCGACAAATATTTATAATACCTTTGAAACTTCAAGCAAGAGTAGCAGGAAAATTTGATCGTCTTTTTTCCTATCAATTCGACACCTCCAGAAGCACACCAATTTGGACCTATATGGTATTCTTGGTGAGGTCACAGGTGTAACATTCCAGACCTTTGTGACGCAAAATTGGACGTCACAGGCGTAAAATTCAAATTACTGACGGACTAAATTTACATTTAGAGATAAGCACAAGTTATGAACGCAGCTCTGAGGCATCTGAGCTGAACCAAGAAAAAAGCCGATAGCCTGAGCTTAGGTGACCCTGGTCAGGTCAAGGCCCAAAACTTAAATATTCGCAACAATAACGCTTATCACAAGTAATACAAAAACTGGAACAAAGGCTAATGTGATAAGGAAGATCAAAGTCGTAATTGGTCCATACAAGATTCAAGCTGACTTCAAATCAGGGCAGGTCAGGTCAGATGAGCCAAAAAGAGACACCAATGTGCTTAAACTGTCATAAAACGTTGACTACTGTAAAAGTTTACTTGCGCGTTATCCGTAAAGGAATAAATGTGCAAATCTGCGAACGAGCATGCTGCTCTCCACAATATGAATCCAACGGTACCCCATAGCAACAAACAACAGGTGACCATAAATGGTCAGATCAAAGACACCGAAATTATATTTAAACGTTTGTTTTGTAGTTACTGCTACGGGGATGATATAATAGTAGTAATGCTATATGTTACCGACTCGTTTGCTGCGTGAGGTTTTTCATCTTATGATTTACTATGTTTACCTTACATGTCCTCTCATAGCCTTGGATGACTTTGGATGGCCTTGGCTCATGATAGGTCTTGTGAAAGTGATGCATACCTGCAAACGCTTTTAGGTACAAAAATTCTTTTGGCCTTTTTGGCTGTGATCTATCCATCAAACGTAAGTATACACCTGGTCCAGTCGAGTAGGATTGTGCGTCAGAACTCGTCACATTCTGGGGCACTGGTGCTGCGGTTAAAAATTGCGGTGTGCGAAGGCTGAACACATAATAGAGGGGAGTTTCAGTTGAATTCACGAGGTAACGCGTTATGTAACGGGCGACGCACATCAATGTGCGTGGGCGTGCGTTTTTTTTTATTCCAGCTTTGAGATAAAGTATCAATTACCGTCTTAAATATGTGGTATTCACGCAGAATGCCAGAGCCGTAGGTATGTAGGTAAGTTGTAATTCCTTGGGTTAGAATTTGTGACCATGTTTTACATTGTTCAGTCATACCCAAATACTTATGCAAGTTAGAAGGGAAAATCCGCGCTGAACTGTGTGCTGTAGAATTGCGGCACAATCATCCATGCACATGTAGTGAACGATGCGTTCATTTTTCTAGTTTCCGTTTCCATTAGATAAGTATATTTTCCATTAGAAATATACTTATTAGAATTAAGTATATTCAAGCCCGTCATGTCAATGCTCGGACCACCGATCAAAACTGGGTTTCTATGGATGGATGACGGTGAGTCATCGCCAAGTAGAATTTACGGAGTTGAGCGAGTGTCGTCAGTGCGCTGGGTGCGTTTTTCCCACTCCCTCATCCTTTGCAGCTGAGAATCGCGACCGCGACGTTTCAGACACCCACTGCCCTTGGCTCGGATCGTGAGTGGGGATGACGTTCAAACGCCGTTTACCGATTAGTAACGGAATCGCAAGAAAATGCAACAATGCCACGGAGAGCCATCCGGAACTGGTGAGTCAGGATGATGGGGCTGTTTCGGCAGAGATGACGGTCTTTGTTGCGAAGACAGACTGTGATAATGTAAAATGGCTAGATTTTATTTGCATCATGATGGTCGTTTTCACGACGGCCATACACATTTGGTGAAGATTAGGTGTAGATTTGGTGCAATTTTGGTCAAATTAGGTCCATTGTGTTTCTTAAAAGTTTTCAGTTTGTTTTGGTTTGCAAAGGTGCTTATATTTAGACCTCATTTTTTAAATTATCAGACATTTTTTCGATCAGAACACTGGAAGAAATTCATGATGTGAAGATATTTGTTGTAAAAGAGATTTGGTATAGATTTGACCAAATTAGGTGCATTTGCCAGATAGCCCGTCGTGAAAACGGCGAATAGCTCGCCAGCAACGTTGGAAGATATTCGTAAAAAAATTAGCCTCAAGAGAAATTTCTATAGATATAGCATCTGCATGATGTCTCTTTCAGTTGTTATAAAAGATCACTGAAACCAATTCAAAACTAATTCATGCACATTCATAGGCAGGGATGCGGAGCCGTGGAGATTTCAGACGGCTCCGGCTCCGGCTCCGGCTCCGGCTCCGGCTCCGGCTCCGGTTCCAGGTGAAATATGCCGGCTCCGGCGGCTCCGGCTCCGGCTCCGCACCCCTGTTCGTAGGTATGTACACAATAATCCATACAAATTTATTTGGGAGGTGCATACCACGCTACTCAAAGCTTGTTTTCAGAACTGTCCTTCACATATTTCAAACGATTGATACTGTCTCGTTTCTTTTACCCGTTTGGCCGTTTTCGATACAACGGCGCTGAGAAGTCGATTGATGAAACCGGTAATAATGTACACAACTTTTTTACTTTTTTCTACTCTTAGGTATCCACATGTACTCTCAATGCAATGCTTGTCAATATCACCAGTATAACGCCTTTTGGGGCGACTAACGGAGCGAGCGAGAGGGTGGGCCTTGCACGTGCGAAATTTCGAGGGGGTACCTCCAACTGACTTGTGCACGGCACTCTACTAACCGGTCTCTAGCGATGTGCCAAATTTGAGCACAATCGGCCTAGCCGTTCTCGAGATCTGAAAGCGGCACCCTGCACGTGCGCACGTGCAAAATGGGTCCCAACTGACTTGTGCACGGCACCCTACTAACTGGTCCCTAACCGTGTACCAAATTTGAGCGCCATCGGTCCAGCCGTTCTCGAGATCTGGAAACGACCCCTGCACGTGCGCACGTGCAGCAGCACCCCAACTCTGGCACATGGATATGCAGTGCCTAGTGGGTGCCTACCTACATGCCAACTTTCAGCGCAATCGGCCAAGTAGTTACCGAGATATTGCAACAATTACCAAACTGACACCTCTTCGTTTTGCACGTGGCACGTGCATAAGGGGTCACCCACATGCATCGGGAATAGTCCAATACTTGGTAGAAGGAATGAAGCTACCCTACAAAAATTACCGCGTGTAAATCGGTCAAGTGGTTGCTGAGATATAAGCCTCGCAAAAGCGTCCGCACGGCCGGCCGGCCGGCCGCTCATACTCAGAAATTTCCGTTAATCTAAGGAAAGACTACGCTCGCTTCGCTCGCTCCGTAATAATTATAATATAGCGTCAATGAGCTTTGTTGAAACGGGCTAGCAAAAAGATATGTAGGTACTTCTTGACCAGTTTCTGCGCAACATTGGGACTCAAAAGCTCAGCATAAATGGTTTATCTAATTGGTTTGTAGGCTGTGGTTTTCGCGACGCATAACGAAACGTGAAAATGTATAACAAGGGCGGATGGCGCAGAAGGAAATCTCTGGTGTTTACGATCGGATTGTAAATTTTATAAAACGTTTAACCTATAAAATGGCACATCCAGTTATGTCAATATTTCTTCTGCAAACTTATCAGTTATGGCAGGCTCATGCCTTGTTAAAAGCGAAATTATTTGACGGGATGTTCCGTCGCGAGACGCGAGTCATAACCACAAGCCACGTCATGAACTTGAAACTTGGTGCCACGTGACACGTCAGTGTCTAGCCGGCAACAAAAACAGTCACGAAGCTGCGTCGCCGTCTACCTGCAGCGAAACCTGTAAAATATTTACTGACTGAAACACCTGGAAATCCTGATCGGGCCCGTTAGATTTGCCAGCAGAGCAGCCCACGAATGTCAGTGGCACCCACAGAAGGCTGTCTCAGCGCCTGAAAACGACGGGAAATCACCTACTTAGTGACATTAAACACCTACGCCAACCGTGTGAGTAGCCAGTTATCTCGGACAAGACTTGATATCTCTGAGTAGTTAGGAATGCAACTTTTTCAAATGAGATTAGATATAGCTACCATTACGCTACTCATAAATGTACGTTACCTACCGATAATCGATATCGCCTCACTTAGCAACAGAAAACGATTTCGATCGACAACAAAATCGCCAATTAGGTAATTCATTTGAGTAAATGTCTGTCATTGATCTATCTAATAAATACAGCTCAATTGTTGCACTCCTCAGCGATGAGGCGAACGAAGTGCTCCCCTCACGAGGCTTTTGTTGAATAAGATTTAAATGAAAGAACATCCTTCGGCCCCTTTCACCCGTCCGCAGTGGCTTATAAAGGCGCTATCTTTATGGGTATTACGTATGTATGTATGTATGTATGTATGTATGTATGTATGTATGTATGTATGTATGCATGCATGTATGTGCGTACCTATGTATGTATGTACTCGTATGTACCTATGTATAGGTATGTATTGACATCACAAGCCTTAGTGGAAACGAACCTTCTCTCAAAATTTAATTGTGCCCATTATCTGTCAGGAGTGTTATGAATGACTTTTTATGAATGACTTTAACCCGCGCCCTGGTGGGGTCTGTTTATAACGCGACCTGGTAGGTGGGTGGGGGGTGGGGGGCTATTTTTTGCCCCCCCCCCGTATCTTCGAAACTACTGGACGGATCCACAAAATTCAAAGGCTTTCGAAAGCCCAGTCAAATTTGTCCAGGGAACTCCAATTTCATTGACCTCGGGGTCACCGATGACGTCACAGGTCAGGTCAAAGATGAAATGTTTTGCCGGTCACGGGTCTTCTAGGGAATAACATCAAATAAAACGCATTTTATCGAAAATCAGCGATAGGGCGTCAGTTGCTTAGTGCATATGTTGCTATTAGAGGTCACAGATAACACCAGGTCAGGTCACAGGTCAGGTCACCAAGGGTCAGCACATGAACCCAATTTTATTAGTGCTGTGTGATGCATGTTTTATGGCCAATTTTTCATTTCAAACTCAATGGTGTTGATAATAAGACGATCAGGAACGGTTTAGGTCACTTCCTGGTGGAGGTCAGGTCAATGTCAGGTCAAAAAGGTCAAATTTTAAAGCTGATATTTTTGCATAAAATGGGTATTTACTCGACGCAGCTCGTCTCGGCCAGTCTAATGATGGTCTTTGCTTTGCGCTACGTGGTCTAGAATTGCTAAAAATTCAGTTTGAAAATTTGACGTCATCAATTTTGAACAGTTTTTTCGCTATAACTTAACCAAAAAGAGAGATATCGATCTAAAATTTGGTATGTGGATGGAAGTGGGCAAGGGCTATCACATATATTCCGTGTTTTTCGAAAGTCGAAAAAGGTTTTGGATTTTTTGGCAATTATATTCAATTTTTTGGGAGGGGTCAAAATAAAAAAAATCAAAATTTCGAGATGGCCATTTTGTAGCCTTGGGAATTCTACACCTTTTATGTCTTAGATGTTTTTCTGTATCTTCAACGCTATAGGCCTGACAGCTCTTCCCGCGAAACTATTTTTGGGTCGAAAACGGCAGAAGATGATGTCACTCTGACGTCATTTGCGGCCAACCTATCATAGCCTTTGGAAGATTTTTTGGTCACAATATGTAAAATTGATGCTCGGGAGGGTACTGAAAGTTTGGTGACAATCGGCGCAGCGGTTCTGGAGATATATTGGAAAGTCTGGAGGGGGGCAAAAATAGCCCCCCCCCACCAGGGCGCGGGTTAACCCACGCGAGCCCGGAGTGACAATGTTTAGCCCCCCCCCCCCCCCGACGAATATTTTCGATGGCTCCCGAGCGCTTAGAGATAGAAGCGCCAAACTTTCAGTACGCTTCCCCCATCAATTTACACATTTCCTAAGGTAGAAAATTTGGAACCAGCCCCTTGATGACGTAACAGGGTCGATTTTCCTAGTCCCTTGCACGGCGAATTTCGACGGCACAGACGTGAACTTCAAACAGCTGCCAAAATAGTGTTTTAAAGGTCGACATATTTAGAGCACAGGTGAGTAGCATATGACATAGATAAGAATACAAAAAAATTGTGACCTATTATCAGAGATCAGGTCAACGACCCCCAGCTGGAATTTCAGTTTTTCCGCAAATAACTTAAACATTAATGGCCATACTCGGTAGAGTTAAGGCACTGGTACATCGTATTCGTAACATGTACCATCGTATTCGTAACATGTACCATCGTATTCGTAACATGTACCATCGTATTCATAACATGTACCATCGTATTCGCCTTGTCAAGCCGCGCCGAATGTCATAGGTACCTATTGTTCAGAAAAGGTCAAGTCTTATGTTGACTTCGCGTGACCTCGACTGACCTTTGGTTGACCTGACACATGAAAGGTGTTTTGTGATGTATTTGTAGCCGCTGATCACGAACCTGGCATTCATTTGCCCTAAGCATCCATTTAGAGCGTCAGGATAGCAAAAGTCGTTGAATTATTGTCGCTAACTTGAATAAGTGAGGTAGGTAGCCTCTAGCAAGGATACTCTTGTCTGACCTTGACCTTAGGATAGCATTGTATCGAAACATGAACCACAAAAAGGTGCCATAGGCTTCAAAAGGTTTCCAAACATTTTGGAAATTAGGGTACAAGATATACGAAAAAGTACAGTTTGAGGCCAATTTTGAGCATGACCTTGGCATCGAAGTTCAAGCAGAGCATCGAACTCCTCAGGTTCTCTCCTGTTGTTTCACACCTGTTTTGTTTCATGCATCCTGCCGTTCACTGGATCACTTTGTGCCGTTTTTTTGTCTTGACCTTGACCTCTAACATTGAAAAAAGTTTTGTGTTTCAGAATCGTTTTGTACAGGACTTTCATTTGGTATTATTTTCGTTTCCGTAGTTTCCATATTTACGAAGTTTGACGGTGAAGGGGGGGGGGGGGGTAACTATTGTTCCCCCGGGCTGCTGTGGTTGAGATCGCCCCCGGGCTCGGCCGGGTTAAATGGGTTTTATGTCCTTTTCATTGTCTTTTTGAATGAATAGGTAAATAAATAAATGTTATCTTCGAAGAAAAATAAAACAAAACAGTGTAGCACCTGGCTAAAATAGTGTATTTGTCATGATCAGGTGTTAGTCCGTTATGATTCCTGAGGTATCGATGTGTTAGTTCCTCATTGCATTCCACTTTGACATAGTGCTAGAGGTACTAACGCCCGTGTCAAAAGCGTCCATGCGACCCAGTGTCCGTAGAATATGAGCGCCAGCACTCTACCTTATTTGGCACATGGGGCGGAATTTGTTTTTGTTTTGTTGGGTTAGGCCCTTTCGGTCGACAAGACCATTGCAGAGCCGGAAGGATGATAGGAATTAGGGGGAGACATTGGTCTGGGCAGGCACCCTAGTGAGTCGCCGGGGCTGAGCCCGTCCAGAGGACAGGCCACCCAGCCCCAAGGCACTCACTGCACCCGGCTACGGGGTGCGCTCCCTCAGGAGCAGCGGTGCCGCTCCAAGGGAGCAGCCCGCATGAGATAAAGTTGCCTGTCCAGCCCGGAGGGGGGTTGCGGGGTGGAGGAGAAGGATTCCAGTATCCTGAGGATAGAAGCACGGATAGGTGTGGGGCGGAAAAACGGGCACGCAGGCCTATGCATTGATGTATCGCTCAGTATCGGGTGACACATGCCTTTAGCTACATACGATGCGATTAAACATTCTGATCACGTTTCTAAGTATAAAAGAGATACATGGCACATGGATACAGTGCATAATAACTTATTATGCTTCGGAGATTCACGATAACTCCACTAAATGCCTTTGAGGGTATGCAGGATTAGTTACGTCCACCCTGCCATCATTAACACCATCTGATGGCAGAGTACTGCAAACACTAGTACACCGGGTAGCCGCCCAGCGGCGCCACTGTACCACGGACAATAGGGACACTGATAGGAACCGCACACCTGGCAGACGTCGATCACGTTCAGCTCGGTTGAGTTGAGGATCTGCTGCTCGAAACGCTCCGGCGCGAAGTATTCGTAGATGCGGGCCGACCTGTAGGCGGTGTAGTTGGCCACCAGGTGGCGGCGGAAGATGGTCCAGTCGAAACACTGCGTGAAGTTGCTGTAGGCCTGCAAGACAGAGATAGCTGCTGTGAGGTGAGGGCAACCGATTTAAGGACGATTTTATTGATCCATCATCATTGATCAGCTTTCAGTCTTCAGTGTGCTAGGATCTGCAGCACATCAGATTTATGGCGAGTATTCCGGTACATTTAAAAATAGTCAAATACTATCTAATGCGAGATGTTAAATACTCTTCACACATGCCAGCACAAGTGCTGCAAGCTGGAACACCATGCACAGTGGACACTATACATTGTACTCATTCAGACCGTTTCAGGCAGACGGCTGACTCACCCTGTCAATGAACCAGTAGATTTTGTCGGGCGATATTTTGCCGCTCATCAGGGCGTTGTTGGGGTTCCGTTTGTGCCTCCGGACGTTAGCGTTGGCCACATGCTGGTCAATTCGGTAGCCGGAGGGCATCTCGACCTCGAGCACGGCCGCTCCGCTCGTCTCCGACTCCTCGGTACGAACCCATCTGAGAGGGACAGAGGGGAGATGAGGGTAGGGGATGTCAGGGGTCTGAGTTTATCAGCCCGCACCCTACTGAGCCAGACGGCCCAGTGGTCTCCGACTCATCGGTGAAAAGCCATCACTTAGAGGAGAAAACCGTCACTGAGGGTAGAGGTGCACCATTTATGATAAAAAGTCACAGATAACAATGAACGAACATGATTGAGGCCATGTTTGCCTACAAAACGGCCTGAATGAAAGTGCCACCTACGAATATGATCACCGCAACACCACGGACACCGTGACAGACACCACGGACACCGTGACGAACACCCCGTGACGGACACCACGGACACCGTGACGGACACCACGGACACCGTGACGAACACCCCGTGACGGACACCACGGACACCGTGACGGACACCACGGACACCGTGACGAACACCCCGTGACGGACACCACGGACACCGTGACGGACACCACGGACACCGTGACGGACACCACGGACACCGTGACGGACACCCCGGACACCGTGACAGACACCACGGACACCACGGCAGGCTCACCTGTAGCACGCCTCCACGTGGATGATGGACTTGTTGCGCGCCTGCTGGATGGCGTTCTCGCGCACGCTTAGGTCGAACGCCTTGACAGGCGGCGTGTCCTTGAGGTTCTCCTTGTCGTAGCCCCAGGAGACGTCCAGCTGGACCACCGCCTGGCCGGCGCCCGTACCCACCACGTTGATGTGGCCCCACACGTTCGGCAGCTGGGGAGGGGAGGGGGACGTCAGAGAGAGCGCTGATGTAGTGCAACAGATCGGGAGCGATGACAATGCACAGGTGCGATACACCGATGCCGATATATTGTCCTGGCGCAAAATTGAAATGATAGGCGCGAGAGAGCATTCGAATCCTGGTTTTGTGAAAGACCAAAGCGATGCTGCAGCCAGCTTGACATAACCACATGAATCACGATCTTTAGAGGCAGTATGGGTCCCAGTACCCAACGTGGTTCGATGCACAGAACATGGGGGTATACATTATACAACCGATAGCTGTAATGCAACGATAGTTACGAACACTTACGTCTACGGTGCGGACTTGTCTGGCCGTGGTGTTGCCGATGGAGACCAGTTTCTGGAAGTTCCTCAGCCCGGAGGACTCGATGTTGACCTTCATGTCGGTGATGTCTCGGAGCCGCGCTCGGAAGGCGTACTCAGTCAGCGCCTGCATGGCCACAATCGTGTCCTGGCGGAGATCACAGGAAGTTATCAACGAGGGAGCATGTACGTACAGACACGGATACAAAAACACGGAACAAATAGTGCATGGACGCGTTTCGATTATTAAATCTTCATCAGCATGACATAATCACAGAGAAAACAAGATGTGCTATATCTTATTTCTCTGTGATTATGACATGCTGATGAAGATTTAATAATCGAAACGCGTCCATGCACTATTTGTTCCGTGTTTTTCTACTTGTCTCTATCAATAGACACGGGTACATTCTGATTCGTTTGTGTCAAATATCTGAAGGATCATAAGTTATCAAAATACGGCACATTATAGAGAGAATCAAGAACACCTTACAACAGGCATGTTTCGATTAGAAAGGTGAAACAAAATAACGCCGAGAAGTATTCGTGATTTATAGTTTGGTTTGGATATCACAAAAACCGTCGGCGCAAGGGCAAAAATTCGAGCTGAATTCGCTTGACTGTCTCTCTAATCTCCAGAACGGAGTCCTTCACTGACTTTGCTCCAATAGCCATTACTACCCTCCCCCCGCCGGCCCCACTCCACTCACCACGGTGGAGACGAAGCCGGCGCTGCACATGCGCATGCTGTTGAGCCAGAGCACCATCTTCTCCTGGTCGATGCCGACGCCGTCTCTATGCAGGTACACGAGCAGCGCGTACGACGTGGCCTCCACCGACTGGGCGTCCCACACCTGCTCGCTCTTGCCATGCAGGTACGGCCGCTGGTTCACGTCCCGGCTGACGGTGAGGGTGGGTACCGGCTCGCGCGCCCAGTAGTACATGCCCTCCACCTCTCGGCGGGCGGCCACCAGTCGACTGAAGGCCAGCTCGCGGTCCACGCTGTTCACCAGGGTCAGCGCGTACGCCGTGATGGCCAGCTCGTAGGGGTCAGCGAGCACGTGCAGACTACGCTCCAGGTACTGGGTGGCCAGCGCCTTGGCGTTGGCCACCACCGCCTTGGCGTCGCCGTGCAGCTTCTCCTGGATGGTGTGCAGGCTGATGAGCACGCTGGCGGTGAGAGGAATGTGCCGCTGCCGGTGCCGCTCACCGGGTACGCGAGAGCGCGGGTCCATCTTCTGGTCCAAAGGGTGCTCGTACCACACGGTCTCGTTGAACGAGCCGTCCGAGTTCTGGAAGAGACACATCCAGTGGGCGGCCTCGGAGAGGATGCGCGGCTCGACGTACAGGTAGTTCTCCCAGTCCTGGAATTGTGAGTACTGCAGCTGGCGTACCGTCCATGCTGTGGCCCTGTGTGACAGTGGGAGGGGATGCGACATCAGTAGCGTACTCCTGAGAGAGAGACACAGAGACGGCGAGAAGGGATGCGTCGTCAGAGGCGCTCAGCTGTGCTGTAATTTTCGCTTTGCGATGGACCCGGGCGCAATCATTCATTATGGAAGGATTATGTTCATTGTCGCTATCACTTATCATTATGTAAGAGGGATTGAGTCTTGTTATTGAAAACATGTTTTTGTTTTGGACTACGGAGATTACGAGAATTCAGTTGCTAATGCGAAATCAGTATGTTAGGCAATAAAACCACAGTCGACTGTCGAACCAAAACAAAGCCAACAAATCCGTGACCTTTAGCTTTTACATTCGTCAGGTCGTCAATGTCAGATGAGCTTTATGTCACGTGTTCACTGACTAGACATAAAAAACAATCAGCTACCAAAACGTGTCCAAGTGATAACTTCTAGCCAGCAAAAGCATACGGATTTCGCTCGCATGTCCGAAACCATTGTAGCAGATCGGCACGAACAAGTATGTTATAGATACCACGGATCGCAGACTAAAACCAACACAATATTTGTAATTTGTATTGTTATAAACGGAGCCCCGCTAGCACAGCTAACCCCACAAGCTGATCGTCTAAAATAGCCCTGCCCAATGAGTGACGTCACAATAACGTCACCCTGCAGTCCGCTCACCAGACGCTGGGCCGGCCGCCGTCGAAGAAGAGGAACGGCCCGCGCCGATACCGCTTCATGATGAGCAGGAAGTGGACGTTCATCTTCTCCAGGACCTGGCGCAGGAAGGAGCGCGGTAGCTGGTTGGTGAGACGCATGTAGTGCAGCGACCACGCGTTGTAGGCCAGGTTGAAGACGGATCCGTCCAGGGACTTTAGCGGCTTACCGAACACCGAGCCGGTGTTCATGGCGTTCGATGGAAAAATGGGACCGATGACGTCACCTGCGGAGAGAGGGAGAGAGAGAGAGAGAGAGAGAGAGTCATGAGTCAGGCAGACGGAAGGGAGAAGTGGGGAGAAACGAGCGACAATTCCGGATCATGACGAATTGGTACTGATGATATCATAGATAAATCTCGCCGCACGAGCTAGTTCATGAGTTTGGAAAACAAACGCCGGACTACGTTTAGGCTAGAATTCGCCCACGTACGTTGTACACAGTGGCCTTTGGAACTTGTTGGTCGCACGTCTAAAATGCATATATTATCTTTCATAAAATGTTAGGTCAGTGGTTAACGTAAAAAGCAAAGCTTCATCGTAGTTGCTCCTATCGTAATGGCCGTGGTATCGTGCCTCACATGTATGCTTTATGAGTTTTTTTTCTCTCCAATAATTGGTGACACAGCAGAAGTTTTGGCGGTGACTGAGGTATTCGCTGCCCGTAGGTACCTAACCGACTGCTTTGCCGTGACAAATGCCAGCGCAGTCGGCATCCGTCCAGACATTCCATACCCACAGAGCTGCAGTCCTATCGCTCAGCATCGGTGCATCATCCACAGAGACAAACACCTCCGTAACGACCCGGTATCGTTCCCCGATGAGATTGTTTGTCCACTTGCCACATAAAAATGGCGGAGATCCGGGATCTCTCACGAGGTAATGACACATCCCTGGATTCTTCCAAAGCTCCTGGAATTTCGAGTTCTCATAGGCTGACTTCTCACGAGTCTGACTATTTGGACTCTTACCGAAGTATGACTGTAATCTCTATTGATGTGTAAACAGCATCATCACCTCCCGTGAAAACCTCCCGAGCCCCCGAGCCTCTCCAGCCGGAGGCTGACTCTCACCAGATACGGTGACGGAGCCCTGCGGACTGCCGTAGACGAAGCGCCGCCAGGTGGCATACGGCACCTCCGGAGACTGCTCCGTGTAGATGTTGAGGAACTTGTGGTCCACGGCACGGTTCTTCAGGTCCAGCAGGAAGGACGTGTGGGTGCTTGTCATCACTCCCTCCGGCTGCAACGAGGCGGTGACAGCGCAAGGTTAGCCTTCACATCAGCCGGCTCTCTCATCCAATATAAAAAACCTGTTTCGGGACACTGTCAAGTGTCAACGTCACTATTTATAAATGTAGATAAGTCAGTATTTCACTGACTTATCATTTAGCTTAAAAAAACATGATTAGCGTTTTTTAGCCTTTTCTGGCCTTAATTTCAACCAGTAATTTGGAACCATTTATTTCAATGTAGCCTGTAAAAGACCTTTTGAACCTGAAAAGTCCCGCCGTACATGCGGGCGAGGTAAATAAAATATGGTTTAAGTATTTATAAGCGGCATATGCATGATTACCGTACCTGCACCTGGATGGTGGCCGTCTCGACGTCCAGCCCGAACTGGGTGATACACTTTAGGGTGATATCCACGGAGCCGAGTTCTACCAGCGGTTTGATCGGCACCGTCACCTCCACACTGCCGCCGGCTTCCACCTGAAAACCGCAGAGTCGTGTAAATAAAACGGTAATCGTATGATGGGTTTCAGACTGTCTTCAAATAGGTCGCATACGCACTTTCACGAGCAGTGTCCATTGCGTAAAAAAATTTCCGTTATGCGTCAGGCGTTTGCAATAAATGTGTTTTTTTTTTTCATTTACATGCAAGTGTCAAATAAAGTTACAATAGAACAGTCGGCCTTATGCGCTGGAGTCAAATATGGGCACGTCGCACGAAGATGTAAAATCGACCGCGGCGTTGCCGCATTGCAGTGAGTTGTTGCGCCCGACTCATGGGCTATGTTCGTTTGTACCGGCACAAGGTGCTGGTGGTCGCCGGCTGACGTCCGGACGTTCTTGTGAGAGATGACGCCGTCCTGCTCCACGTGAACAAACCTGGGAATAGACGGTGGAGACGTCAAATAAATGCGGGATACGCAACACTCTTTAAGGTGAATTGGTAAATGATTCCAAGCGAATATGGATACCTATACTTAAAGGGACACTCCCACCTTCAAAAAAGTTAAAGAATTGGCACGAAAGTGATGTCGCTCGGTTCAGAAAGAGCGAAAACGAATATCTACCAAATTTCATCGAAAAATATTCACCGGTTTTCAAGATATTAGACTTTTACTTTTGTTTACTTTTTGGGATCTCCGCTGTTCCTAGCGACTTTATTTGAAAGTGCGGCATTTGTTGCGCGCAAAGCAGCATATACCACCGCGTGCTACCAAACGTTTTAGTAAAAGATTTAAAAATCGTTAGATCTCTGCTGACGTCACAAATTCTAAGGGGGCATACCAATGCACTAGCCCCTTAGAATCCGAAAACTGCAAGTTTGAAATTCCATATCTCCAAATTAAAGCATTTTTCGATGTTGTGAGTGCCCAAACCGGTATTTGCAGGCCATGGCCACCAATTTGGCTATCTCAACTCAAAACTAATGTTAAGGTGGGAGTGTCCCTTTAACCGATATCAGCCTTCAGTCATAACAGGGAAGCTGGCACTTCTCAGGATAATAAATTAATCGTTGTTTGCTATTCATTTTTTTCAAATAAATTATGATGGTTCGACATTTCCTAGCAACATTTCACCACCTCACGAAGAAAGTCGGGCAGTTACGATGTTGATGCCTTAGTATGTCTTACCGATAGTTGGGGCTGTTGGGCAGCACCACCAGAGCCAGCACCTCGATGTCCTGGTTGTTGACGAGCAGCAGGCGCGCCGAGATGGTCTCTCCGCGCCGGATTTGGGACACCACCTCCATAGTCATGTAGAACGGCCGGTTACTGACGTGCTGGCGACAAACAAACAGCTCAGTTCGTCAAAACAGCCGGGATTTGTGACCCAGAATTAGACCGATTTGTGGTCGCAGACTGATTCACAGCTGAGAGCTCCTCTCCCCTTCCCATCATCCTGTCTGATCCAGGCGGATAATCCAGCGTGTCTCTCTCCACTCGGGTGGAAACAGGCGACCGCCGCTAAGCCTGCCGACCTGTCCTGGTGCTTGGCGGAACCACCATGCCTGTTGCTAGGCGAGATTTCCACCTCAGTCGAAGTTATCGACTAGGGCACTAAAGGTATCGACCAGAGACCTACTAAAAATGCAATTTTTGCGGGTGGAGAAGGGAAATACCTAACCATAACATATGAAAGCTTAACATGGCTTAACTAATAACCTGTGAAATAACAGAACGCGTTCGAACCCAACGCAGCAACCATTACCGTCATTGTAACAATATTTGCATACGCTATCAAAATCATCATCGATATTACCGTCCTTATCGCTTAGGCGCTCACACGCATCTCGAGAAGCATTAATTCGAAACGAACCCACCATCCATGCAAATATACGGGATAGTGCTTTGCAGCTCAATCATATGTATAACATTTCACGGTAGCCTGAAAATTACATATCACCGACCCCCACTGACCACGCTAATTTCTCACGTGTATGGGCTCCTCGATGAGTCCGAAGCCGTGCTTCTGGCTGATGCTGAAGCCGTTGATGTACCAGTCGTCGTTGACCTCGGGGACCTGTAGGACCTGCTGCTCGCCGCCCTCATACCCTGTCACGGACGGAGCACGAGCGTGAGTTCACCTCACGGTAACTCACGATCTCTATCCGTGATAAAACAGACACTACATAGACACACCGTTATGGTACATACATGAATGTGAGAGTTCAACGAACAGTCAGTTCATGTTTCCATTAGGAACGACAAGTCTACTTATGTTGGCTTAGGTTATATAACATTAGACATAAGATACAACGTTTCCGATGTTAACAGCCGTCACATAAACACAAAATGTGTAGTCAGCCGGGGGAAATACTGGGGTGTGGTAGTCTCGAAAACCACTTACCCTCATGTACCCGTAACATGTATCCATGACGGGAATCTCACGGAGGTATCCGGTGTGATTAGAATCCCTCTCTCTCTCTCTCTCTCTCTCTCTCTCTCTCTCTCTCTCTCTCTCTCTCTCTCTCTCTCTCTCTCTCTCTCTCTCTCTCTCTCTCTCTCTCTCTCTCTCTCTCTCTCCCTCTCTCCCTCTCTCCCTCTCTCTCTCCCTCTCTCCCTCTCTCTCTCCCTCTCGCTCTCTCTCTCCCTCTCGCTCCTCCTCCCTCTCTCTCTCTCTCTCTCTCTCTCTCTCTCTCTCTCTCTCTCTCTCTCTCTCTCTCTCTCTCTCTCTATCCTCCCCTCCCTCCCTCTCACCGATGTTTTTCAGCATCCAGGCCCAGTCGCCGGCGCCGAAGTCGAAGATGTCGGCGAAGGTGGAGCGCCTCCGGATGCGGAACCTCCGCTCCTCTTCCTCCTTGGTAACGTCAGGTGTGCCTGCGTCACACGTGACAATGTGACGTCATACAGCGGTCTGGTGTGACGGTTCTGACGATGACGAGAATGCTGGTTGGGTCGATGAGATACTTATAAGAGTAGGAAGTCGTTAGATAATTCCGATAACTTATTGCGTATACATAAAAAAAATCAACCAAGCTTACGTCAGTTTTGCCAGGCTATTTACATGTTACCTACCTCGGCATGACGATGAAGATCTTCGTTATTTGTCCGAGGACCATTTATTTACCGGGCCAAAAGATATCATACATTTTAATAGTGTCATGTCCACAAACTATAAGGTAACTTTTCTCTGCAATTCGTTTGCTCTATGCCATCGTAAATACTTAGGTAAAGCTAGACTGTCGATTCGGTGCACTCACAGCCGATTTCATCCGAGTGGTCGCCGCAGTCGCTGACTCCGTCGCAGCGGCGGGTGACGTTATAACATCCGCGGGAGAGACAGCGGGCCTCCCCTTCGAAACAGTCCGCTGGGGTACAGAACAGAGGTTATAACATTCGGGAGAGGCAGCGGGCATCGCCTTAGAAACAGTCCTCTGGGGGGGATGGAAGAGATGTTATAACATCCCCGTGACAGACAGTTTTAGCATATTCATGGTTTTACCCATCGCTTATGCTCCCGACCTTTTATGTGCCCCTGGCATTGCTTTCCACCTCTTGCCCCTTCTCCCAACCAAAACTATTGAGCTTTGAGATACTCTAACCCCTGTAACCGTCCATATTGACTCCAGTCGCGACATGCCCCGACTTGAGTGGCCCTCCACTAACTTCTGTTATCTTACATTACATTCTCCACCGACCTCTGTGACTCGTGACCCCCAGCTGACCTGTGCGCCCCTCTACTGACTTAGGTGACCCCAACTGACCCCAGTGACCTCCAGATGACCTCTGTGACCCCCGCTGACCTGTGTGCCCCCCCCCCCTCCCACTGACTTAGCTGTGACCATCCACTGACTTAGGTGACCCCAACCTGACGCGGTGACCACCAGGCACCAGATGACCTCTGTGACCCACCACTGACCTGTGCCGGGCACCGACTCGACTCGTGCGTCGGTGAAGACCACCAGTCCGGCGAGCGCGAACGACGAGTTGGCGTCGATGCCGTAGTCGGGTGTGACGTAATACTCAGAGCTGACGGGCCGACTGCCATCCCGCCAGCGCCAGACAGCTCGGTGGACGGCTCTGGGCAGGGAGGAGGGGGGGGGGGCGGCGGGAGCAGTGAGAGACAGATCAAGGAACAGCTCAGTCGACCCGGGCAGGGGAGGGGCACAGGTGGTGGACCATGCACACTGGCGGATCCAGGGGGGGGGCCACGGGGGCCATGCCCCCCCCCCCAAAGGCCTAAAGTGGCCTGTTTGGCCCCCCCCCCCAAAACGCCAGAAAAATTGCTAAGAAAATATACCTTGATGGAGGTTTTTAGCCACTTGGTGAAGTAAAGCTTTCCACAGCATAATATGGAAGCAATATGGAAGCAGTGAGCAGTGAGCAGTATAATATGGAAGCAGTGAGGGTCAGTCAAAAGTTGCGCGAGCGGAGTCGACCTTAAAAAAAGACTGTTGTTGGCACGTGTTTATGGCGCGGCAGCTGGTAGTTGGCGGTGTTTCGCGTGGTGTGGCATCACTGGCGGATCTGGGGGGAGGGGGGGGGGCACGGGAGCCTGAGGTGCCCCTGACAGGCCCGTGGTGCCCTTGCTAGGCCTGTGGTGCCCCTGGACCCTGGCAGGCCTGTGGTACAGTCCACAGCAGAAGTAATGTGGGGTTTCAGTCATGGGTATGTTCTGCTTCTGAAGCTTAGGAACGATTAGCCAGACTACAATGAAACTTTGAATGTAGCTTATATGTATCGTCACCCTTGCAGCTGCAACTTTAGCTATTGACATCTTCTTTTCAATCACTTCGCATTAAACAATCGCCAGTCAAAGCCAACCGTTGAGTTTGGTAAAACCCTACATTACTTTAGCGGTGGGCTGTACCTCTGGCGGGCCTAGGGTGCCCCTGCTAGGCTGCTGATGCCCCTGGGACCTGACAGGACTGTGGTGCCCCTGACAAGCCTAAAGTGCCCCCAACAGGCCCGTGATGCCCCTGACAGGCCCAAGGTGCCCCTGCGTGATGCCGTGATGCCTGCGAGGCCGGTGGTGCCCCCTGCGAGGCCGGTGGGGCCCCTGACAGGTCCATGGTGCCCCTGCTAGACCGGTGGTGCCCCTGGCAGGCCTGTGGTGCCCCTGCTAGGCCGCTGGTGTCCCTGGGCCCTGACAGGACTGTGGTGCCCCTGACAGGCCCAAGGTGCCCCTGTAAGGCCTGTGGTACCCCTGCTAGGCCTCTGGTGTCCCTGACAGGCCCATGGTGCCCCTGACAAGCCTGTGGGGCCCCTCACAGGCCCGTGGTGCCCTTGCTAGGCCTGTGGTGCCCCTGGCGGGCTAGTGGTGCCCCTACTAGGCCGGTGGTGCCCCTGACAGGCCTGTGGTGCCCCCGGGCACCAAAGGGGTCATGACCCATGTGGCCCCCCTTGGATCTGCCACTGATGCATAATATATTGATTTGTAAAGGCGTTATGACTTATGCAATATGCAATTGCAGGCACTTGGTATCCCTCACTTATCCCTCATTGGGGCTCTGGCGGGCTCGTGAGGGCCCACGTCTATCTCCGGGAGCCCATATAGACAGGCTCCTTTGGGTCCTTTCAGTACACTATAGCATAAGAGGTCTCCATGCGAGTCATGCGATACATCTGAGGGCGTACCCTGATGTCTGAGGTACCCAACTGCAGCTCCAATGGTCTCTTCTTACACTGGCGGATCCAGGGAGGGGGCATTTAGGGCCATGCCCCCTTCCCAGAGGCCTAAAGTGGCCCGTTTTCCCCCTCCCCCAAACGATAATGAAACATAGTTCAATCAGGGCGTGGCCCAGGAGCCGAGTTAGACAGGGCTGTTTTACCACCTCCGGCCCGCAAAGGGACCCAAGCACTGACTCGAAGCGGGTTTAAAGAGACCCTCCCAGTTCCCACCTTCAAAAAAGTTAATGAATTGGCATGAAAGTGATGTCGCTAGGTTCAGAAAGGGCGGAAAACGAATATCTACCAAATTTTATCGAAAAATATTCACCGGTTTTCAAGAGATTAGACTTTTATTTTTGTTTACTTTTGGGATATCCGCTGCTGTTCCTAGCGACTTTATTTGAAAGTGCGGCATTTGTTGCGCGCAAAGCAGCCTATACCACCGCATGCTACCAAACGTTTTAGTAAAATATTAAAAAATCATTAGATCTCCGCTGACGTCACACATTCAGAGGGGTATCCAAAAGCATTAGCCCCTCTGAATCAAAATGCTGCAATTTTGAAATTCAATATTTCCGATTTAAGGCATTTCTCGATGTTGTGAGTGCGTGCCGAAACCGGTAATTGTGAGCCAGGTACCCCATTTTGGCTATCTCAGCTCAAATCTAATGTTAAGGTGGGAGGGTCCCTTTAACTGGTCGATAAAAACAATGGTAAGTGTTTACAAAGTAATATAAAGGCATGGGTCGGGTGGGCTACCATTTATATATTTTTCTTTTTAGTTAAAAAAAATTCATAGTGTCAGGGCTGTGACGAAAAATAAGTGGCCTAAATCCGATGAGAAAACAGGATTTGGGGGTACCCTAGGTTTGGCTCCTGCATGAGTTGGCCCCCCCAAAACGCAAGCCTGGATCCGCCAGTGACCATGCACGTTGCACACTAGACATAAGACAGCTCGTGGACCATGGCGATTGGTCGGCGAAAACAATACACGGCCCGAAAAACAACTCCGGACGAAGGATGCAAGGGGAACTTTGGTAAACAAGCCATAAATGTGGCCTAGCAAATCCTTCCTTCATACGAAAAACCATAGCGTGTCACTGTCGACCACAAGCTGAACTTACAAATTAAGCAGAGTGAAGTACCTCACTTCAAATTTTAAACATATATTTCTTTCTGGGTAGGTACCTTTCAGTGGTTAGACTCAAGCTCTCGAAGAAATGTATTTCATGACACAAACATGGTACTTTGAAGATCACGTTTGACAGCGTGCTCCATCTCAACTGGGTGTGCTCCACTGACTACGGGTGTGCTCCACTGACCTGGGCGTGTTCTCAAACGAGTGCAGGCTGGCGAGCACCGAGGCGCGGCTCAGCTCGTGCTCCGCCTGCACGCTGTACAGGTAGCCCCTCATCGAGTTGGTACAGAAGGTGGCGCCCGGAGTGCTCCACATACCCAGCTCCACCGTGTTCTTCGAGTGGTCCTTGTGCTGGTTCAGCACCAGCTTCGTCTGGGAATCGGCCGAGCGTTGGTAACGGACAAGCACCCGTTATGTATGGGGCGTTCCACGACAAATCGACAAGTGCCCTGCACCCTCATATTTTATTTTTTGCTTAAAATTGGTCTAAGGGGTTGTGATGGGCGGGGAAGCCAGCTGTGACAAGGATTTTTTTCTTCGAACAACGGTTTCTGAGATATAGCCTCGGGCAATTCCTGGAGGTCGCGCTGCAGCCCTATGTTTGGCGGCCTATAACTCAAAAACTATTGGTTTTCTACGATAAAAACTTTATATGGTTCAACTCACAATCAGACAACAAACATTTTGGCTATCTCGGATTTTCATTTTTTGAAAATTTTGATCACGTGACCTTTTGACCTATTTTTCAAAGAGTGACCTTGATATTTTCCCCACTGAAAGTTGCAATTTTGTCTGATGACAATTAAAGCCTTATCGATTGTCATTCATATGCGAAAATAAAAAAGTGGATATCGCCCTGCGTTGACCTCAGGTCAGGTCATTTTTATGACCTGTCCATTATTACGAGCGGGAGCGACAGCGAGATCTCGAGAATAAAGCAAGATAGCGACAAGCGGTAAACGGTGCAGGGTACACACGGATAAGGTCTATAATTTTTACTTAGGTCATTTTCAGGTCAGGTCAAAGATGACGTCACAGGAGCAAAAAGGAAGTCAAAATTGCGGCACTACATATATATGAAGTTTTTCTCGAATAACTTTTAAGGTATCCCAGCTAGGAACAAACTAATATCAACATCGTGATCCTCTCGTCGATCCGCATCGAAACATATGTATGTTGACCTCGAAAGGTCGAAAGGTCAAAAGTTGACCTTAGGTCACGTGACCTAAGGTCAACTTTTGACCTTTCGACCTTTCGAGGTCAACATACGTATCTTTCGATGCGGATCGACGAGAGGATCACGATGGTGCTATTAGTTTGTTCCTAGCTGGGATACCTTGAATGAAAGTTATTCGAGAAAAACTTCATATATATGTAGTGCCGCAATTTCGACTTCCTTTTTGCTCCTGTGACGTCATCTTTGACCTGACCTGAAAATGACCTCCGTAAAAGTTATAGACCTTATCCGTGTGTACCCTGCACCGTTTACCGCTTGTCGCTATCTTGCTTTATTCTCGAGATCTCGCTGTCGCTCCCGCTCGTCACGTGACCTAAGGTCAACTTTTGACCTTTCGACCTTTCGAGGTCAACATACATATGTTTCGATGCGGATCGACGAGAGGATCACGATGGTGCTATTGGTTTGTTCCTAGCTGGGATACCTTAAAAGTTATTCGAGAAAAACTTCATATATATGTAGTGCCGCTATTTTGACTTCCTTTTTGCTCCTGTGACGTCATCTTTGACCTGACCTGAAAATGACCTCAGTAAAAATTATAGACCTTATCCGTTTGTACCCTGCAACGTTTACCGCTTGTCGCTATCTTGCTTTATTCTCGAGATCTCACTGTCGCTCCCGCTCGTAATAATGGACAGGTCATAAAAATGACCTGACCTGAGGTCAACGCAGGGCGATATCCACTTTTTTATTTTCGCATATGAATGACAATCGATAAGGCTTTAATTGTCATCAGACAAAATTGCAACTTTCAGTGGGGAAAATATCAAGGTCACTCTTTGAAAAATAGGTCAAAAGGTCACGTGATCAAAATTTTCAAAAAATGAAAATCCGAGATAGCCAAAATGTTTGTTGTCTGATTGTGAGTTGAACCATATAAAGTTTTTATCGTAGAAAACCAATAGTTTTTTAGTTATAGGCCGCCAAACATAGGGCTGCAGCGCGACCTCCAGGAATTGCCCGAGGCTATACCTCGGAAACCGTTGTTCGGAGAAAAAATCCTTGCCACAGCTGGCTTCCCCGCCCATCACAACCCCATACACCAGTTTTCAACGAAAAATAAAATATGAGGGTGCAAATTTAATTTTTTATTTGTCGATTTGTCGTATATCAACAGACAGGTAATGGATACTCGCAGTTAAAGGGACCCTCCCACCTTCAAAAAAGTTTATGAATTGGCATGAAAGTGATGTCGCTCGGTTCAGAAAGAGCGAAAACGAATATCTACCAAATTTCACCGAAAAATATTCACCGGTTTTCAAGATATTAGACTTTTACTTTTGTTTACTTTTTTGGGATCTCCGCTGTTTCTAGCGACTTTATTTTAGAAGTGCGGCGTTTGCGGCAGATGTTGCGCGCAAATAGCATATACCACCGCGTGCTACAAAACGTTTTAGTCAAACATTTAAAAATCGTTAGATATTTGCGCTGACGTCACACATTCAGAGGGGTATTCCTAAGCATTAGCCCCTCTGAATCAAAATGCTGCAATTTTGAAATTCAATATTTCCGATTTAAGGCATTTCTCGATGTTGTGAGTGCCGAAACCGGTAATTGTGAGCCAGGGACCCCATTTTGGCTATCTCAACTCAAATCTTATGTTAAGGTGGGAGGGTCCCTTTAAACGGATGTTTAGGGCGCCGCAGTGGCTGGCCTGTGAAGACTGAGGATTCGTCCAGGGGAACGGGTTCCTCCTACGCGTGGGAGGACGGCGGCTCTATCGTTGGCTCAAGCCTCGTCGGAAAGGGCGACTAAGGGTCAGTTCGGGACGCGAACATTCACATGGAGCGGGACGGACCGCGATTCAAACTCAGGTCGGACCTGAGAGGTGACCGATAGAAGCATTCACAGATGCAGTTAGCTTAGTAAATTATAAATTGTTTCTTTTAAATAGCTATGGGAAGTACCACATACACTTTGCTAATGACGAATATGAAGAAGCTGCAGTCATTGGTGAAAAATCAGAAACGCTGCGTCATCAACGCTACAAACACCGTACCTGAATGATATGCAAATTGTAGCGTTTACAATGAGACGTAACACCTATGAAAGGGCAAAGTCGCGGGCCGATATCAGTAACACATGAACTAACTGCGAAGTTGTCTGCACTTCTCTTCATTGGTATACATCGTAGGGCCACCAGCGGGACACATCAAATAAGGGTAAAGTGCAACGTGATCATACACCTGGCATGGGCCTCATATATTGATAGGCTGTGCCGCTGTCCCGGTTGAAGAGCATAAGGACAAGAGGGCTGTTTACTCTTTACTTATCAGTGTCAGCTGACCACTCAGCCCGACCCTGTGAAGGTCACATGACTGCTTACCCTCCCCGGGTGATGTCACTTCAGACTATTCACCCATCCCCGACTAATATCACCTCACTATTCACTCTGCAGATCTTGCGGAGGTCACATGATCATTCACCCTGCCCCTGTGGAGGTCACATGACCCCCAACCCCATCCCGACGCTGTTGATATCACGTGGCCCAATCCATCCTACCCCTGCTGATATCACGTGATGCACTCACCCTGCCGCGGTTGATGCCCTCCACGGGCACCTGGACCGAGTCGGTGACCACCTCTCCGGCGTCGGTCACGTGATAGACGACCAGTCGGAAGCTGGGGGCCATCTCGGCCGACACGGGCACGGAGGTGGTGGTGACGGTCGGCCCGCCCGAGTCCCGCACAGGGACACGGTCCCCGTGGATCACCAGGTTCTTGCTCACTACCTGGGCAAAGGGTGGGGGTGGGGGGGGGGGGGGTCACCATACCAGGCCGGAGGGACGGGGAGGGGTCACTTCCTGGTCAATTACAGTGGAGAGGGGTCATAACTCACTATACCTGGCTGAACGGTGGGAGGGTAGGGGGTCACAGTCTGGTCAAACGGTGGGAGGGGTCACCACCTGGTCAAAGCGTCGAAGGGGCCTACTATGCGTTTCAGACCCCGTGGAACAGTCCTTTTCGGCTATTTCTCGTTGTATATGCGTTTGATTTTAACCAAACTTTGGCATTGGTAGTTTGAGATCCCTACCTAATTTTTATCAATATGGTCTATTAACGAAAAATGAAAAATAAAGGCACTTGTCATTGACTGATAATGTTAAGGTCGTCAGAGCCCTGCTTAGAGGCTGACACAGGCTGGACGCTGTCTCCCCTCTGATTGGTCGAGACGCACTAGCACACTGCGGCTTGGCTCCGCCCACTTGCGGTCCAGCCTCGGGTCATGTCGGCGGCAGTCGCAGTCCGGCCACTCAATATACCCTGGTCCGGCCGGCCGGCGTGTGGGCCGCGCACGCAGCGCAGCGGAGTGGAGCACTTGTTTGCATGTCATGAACTTTTAATAAGTTGTTCTACGACAAATAAGGACGGAGGAAGAAAGAGAAAGGAAAAGGAGACAAAGTGACAATGAGACGAACGGTAAACGTTGGCTAGTGGACAACAAACAATATGCATATAGCCGCTAGAGCCTTCAGGGAGATCATGAACTCTCGATATTGCATATCTACATTTTCAGATTGAGTCATCCTATATTTTTCCCTGTTTTATTGTTTTTCGGGCCTAAGATCTATCAACAACATTCTGAAAGCATTGTGGAAATGTCATAGAAAGATTTACCTATCATTTTCACCCTCCCAAAAAAAATTATTCTTTTAAACAAAAAAAAACGAAATACCTACAAGTATCTATGTGGATATCTTCAATTAAATAAGGCCGTTGAATGCAAAGACAGTCCGGTGAATTCTGTCCCGTTACTCCTTAAATGCACAATAGCCTGTAGGAAAACGGCTGCGGAGAGGCTCGCTATAAATTATTGAAAATAAGATTATTTTAAGTCTGCATAGGGAATAACATTCTGTAGCTAGGAGTGCTTATTGTTTTATACATACACCGTCGCGATCTGCATTGAATTCTTCATTCTTATTCTCTCCGCGCGATATACGACATTTACAATATTCACGCAATGATGCCTGCGTTAGCGTGTGTCTCGTTCCAGTCCGTCAGAGCTCCGCACCGCTCTGACCCCGAGCGGCGAATGACCGGTCCCGGTGTCGCGGCACAGTGGGCGGAGCTTAGCTGCGGCGCAACAGCTGACGCTGCAACGCCATGCTAGCCTCTACCACGGTGCAGAGTTTTCCGATCAATTTTTACCATTACAAGTCAACGACAAGTGCCTTTCATTTTGACATTTTGTTAAAAGACCATATTAGTAAAAATTAGGTAGGCCCTTGAAACACATTGTGTCAAAGTTTGGTTGAAATCAAGCGTATAGGTAACGAGAAAGGGCCAAAAAGGACTGTTCCAGAGGGTCTGAAATGCGTAGTAACTGACCCGTACCTAGTGTGGGGAAGGCCAAGTTATTGTGGATCATAAGTTTTTTTTTCTCACCTCACTCCCCCGTCGTCGAGTTTTGCTTTGTATCGATCAGCCATTACTTTGTTTTTACAAGTTTTTAGCTTCGATGCTTATTGTTTATCGACGGAAATATTACCTATATATCAACTGGCCTAGCATGGCCAATTACCAAGCCCAATGTTGTCACGGCTCGCGGCCCCGGGAAGATAAATGATAATACGGAGAAAGCAAAAACCGAGAAGAGTTTTGATAGAAGTACCTATTCATATAACATTTTTCAATAATAATTGAGGGTAAAAGACTGTTATGGATCTTAGAGACAGGCATAACAAACAAGGTGAGTGTAAAATTGATAAATAACGCACCTGCGTAGAAATTCCGTATCTCCGTTTCTCGAGGTCGTTAGGACTGTCCCATTTACAAACCTGTCCGTTCCATTAGCCCCGCTGACCTCCAGCGTCGGTACTGTGTGTCCTGACATTGAGGTGACCTTGGAATCGGCCCCCTCCCCTCACAGGTCAGGGCAGGCCGGGTGGCCGGGCGGAGCGCTTCGGCTGAGCACGTGGGGCGTCAAAGTAAACAGCTACCAGGTGTATGACTGGCACGGTGTGTTTGTAGACAGGTGCAATGGATACCCCAACCACCGTGTACATAAACTCAACACTGAGCTGGTCATCTGCATAGTAAACAACGACAGCCCGCTCAATTATCTACACGATGCTGTTTTCCCCGTGCCGATCGGGCCCACGGTTACCGAGATATTGCACGGGGATCGGACCCGTGTCGGGCAAATTCGGCCATTTTCGCCCAATTTTGCAAGCCGATTTATACATGTAAAGTCTATGACGCGAATTTGCACTTTTTGAGCACGCGCCACGCGCTCACTACCAATCCGATCGAGCTAAGACCCCTCAAAGGCACGTCGCGCATCCTTGATCTATAAGTTGTGCAAATTTCAGCGTGCTAGGTGCAACGGTCTGGCCTGTAGTCCACGCAAAGCACCACCAAGTCTGGACCTCGGTAACGGACAGACGCACCCTCCTCAAATAGTAAGATAGACAACAAATAGTATAGTAGATAGTGTAAACATGTGTGAACCATATGCCACGGTGACGGATGACACCGGCGATGGCGAGACCACGAGATACCAAATAAATTTTGTAAACGATTTGCTGATTCAATTTTCAAATGAATAGTGACAGTGTCATTCAAGGAATTCATTAGCTGCCTAGCTGGGACAATTCTATTGCACTTATGTTTTCAGTAATTATGGACTTACGCATCCCGCAGAACGCTATTTATCATCCAAATTAAAAAAAAAACTTCCAATTAAAGCTAATCTTTTGTTTTTCAGTCAGAAGTAGGAAAGACCAGAAGCATGACAAATGCTATTGAGCTCTATACGTTTTAGTGACCTACCCGTATAACCTAAATGTAAATATGCCCACAGTCTCTTGTAGAACGCACAACTGGATCACGGTACAGTGGCCCTCCAATGTTTATTTCAGTTCGGCAAGGCCGGGGGCACTCACCAGCAGGTAGAAGTAGCTCATGGGGAAGTTGGAGCGCACGTGGAAGACGGCGTACTCTCCGATGTCGGTGCGCCGGTTGGACGTCTCCACGGCGAGCACGCTGCGGGTAGTCGAGTGGTACGGCTGCAGCTGCAGGCCGGCAGAGGCGGTCACGCCGTCCGCGCCGCTGTAGGTGGCCGTCAGCTGGAGTGTGCCGCCGCGCGGCGGCGTGTCCAGCTGGAAGCGGTAGAGGCCGGTGGCGCGGTACTCTGACCAGCGGTGCTGCTGCAGGTACCGCTCGGTCAGTGTCTCCAGGTAGCGCCGCTCGGCCTCCAGCAGCGGCCGCTCGGCGTCCCCGTCCGGCCGCCAGAAGGTCCCGTTCCTCCAGAGGGTCTGCTGGCGTACCTCGGCCTCGCTGGGCACGCGGATCACGCCCGCAGAGTCTCCCGATGAGCGGATCTCGAGCGCTGACTCGCGCAGCTGGTCAGGGGTCAGCGGCGCCTGGTCGTGGTACGTCACCAGCACCTGCAGAGGACGGCGGGAGAGATGATAGTGGGAGCGCCGAGAGAAACGACGGCGCATGGACAGTGAGAGACTGCGGTGCCGATGGGAGAACAGACGAAAAAGAGCGTCATGGCGCACATGATGATGTTTTCTTGCGTCATTCTTTCTATTGCATACTGTCATTCATTTCATATATTTCGATAATTGTTGATCTTGTTAAGAAAATTTATTCATCATTAGCAACATGATATTAAAGCAATACTATAGTCGAACTGTGGATTGTAGGCTGTAATTTACACAAGACAATTTATTGCCATTTTATTGTCATTAGGTACCTGTCCATGAAACGGCATCCCTGGTTTGTACTGCTGCGGCGCAACGCCCAAAAACTGGACGGAGATCGACGAGTTGATGAGCTTCGAGTTGCAGAAACCGACTTGGGTGATGTTTAGCCAGTAGTCGTTTACCTGAAAACGATGCAATCGATATCAGTTGATTGCAAATGGAAGCATGGGTTTAGGCATAACGTCGCTAAGTAGTTGAAGCTATTGGCGCTAGCTTTTGCCCAATTGGATATAATATCCGATACGGAATAAGGTAGGTATATGGATACAAATGCATTGTTACCTATCCCGTTAATTGCTTCAACCACCATCAGCTGACCTTGACGACGACTTTGACCTCGGCACCGTCCAGTCGGGTGATGGCTCCGTTCAGAGAGGCCATCGGGAACGAGAAGGACGCCCCGCCGTAGAACTGTGGACAGAGACGGGGAACAGCTCATTCATTCATGAGAAAGAAGACATGTCAAAGTCTTTATGTAGATCGGTTGGAACTCAGTAAAGGGCCAATTTTACGCACTTTTAGTGGCCTTTTGATGCATAAAGGTCCACTTTTATGCAATTCTAGGATTGTTGAAAGAGGCTTTTTATGCAATCCTAAGATAATGTCACTTGAGGTAAACCCCGATGACCTGACCCCTGCTCGGCCCCCGGGGCGCCACTGACCCTGACGACGCGCTGGGTGTCGACCAGTTTGAACTCTCGCTCGGCCTCTGTGGCCGGCTGGCCGGGCCGGGCCCACAGCTCCAGTGTGGCGTTACCGCGCACACTCTTGTCGTTTGTGTAGCCGGCAGAGAAGTCGCCCGTGATGTTATCGTCCGAGAGCAGGAAGTATGTGGGCGTCCACACAAACGTCTGCGGACGGGTCAGGTCAGAAGCGGGAGGCAGCAAAGCAGTGTGTGGACGGCTAGACATGAAGTGGGAGCCCTCACTCCACAAGAACATTCATGGATGCTGAGCCAACTATGCCATATCATCACGTAAAAGTCCATGACATGAGACGGCGGTCAAGACACTGGGAATACCCATATGTTAGCAGTTGGGGAACGATGCAACCTTTGTGAACATTTTCATCAGGTACTTGAGCAGCCGATAAGCCAGCTTCAGAAGAATCGAGCTAGGGCAGTTGTTTTTCTCCCTGTGCTGACGTTGGCCAAACAATAATTTAGCATTACAAAGAGCAGGGGACCGATTAAAGCGAATGCAATATGCATTCCTCTCCGTCTCCCTTTCATACATACATACCTATCCACACGAACACAACACAGACACACCTGAGCACCCCGTGTGCCCTGTGCGGCCCCTGCAGTTCGCTGCCCCTGCGCCTGGAGCGCTCGACCTTGGTGAGATGGGGCAACCCTCAGCGGCCGCTCTGCCTATGAGTGTCCCCGACCGGTGGCCCCTCACACCCTCTGACCGGTAAATACCAGAGCGGGCCTGATGGCCGCTCCCTCACCGCGTCACTGAAGGCGACATGTCGGTACCGGGACCAGCGCGATCATCAGGACAAGCTCCGGTGATGGGTGCGACACTGGGCACATTATGCCGGGGGCACGACTACGAAGAAAAACACGATGCCCGAGGGGATAGCAGGTCTACAGATGGCCTTGATAGCAGGAAACAATTTTTCCGTCATGTATCTTTAGCGCCAATGTTTTCTTTTTTTCACACCAGATTTGTGTAAAAAGAACGAATTCAAAATGCTATAAATGTGCACCAGTTAATATAAACGTTCAAACTTTAATAATGTTTCGAATAAAACACCCACATACGCGTATGTGTCCTTTACCGACCTCCCACTGCTGGGTGCGCATCTTGGTCATCCTCATGAACTTCTCCTCGATCTGTCCTCGGACGCTGACGCGGATCTTCCACCACCCTCCCTTTCCGATGCCCGGCAGCTGGAAGCTGAGAGCCACCACCCCTGCACGGAGGAGCACGGGGGGTCAGTGAGACAGTGAGGATGCACTAAAGGTCAACGGCGTTCGCTTGATGTCATTGATATGTCACCGCTGTATTTTATTTGTAAAGTGACGAGTGAGGCTAGATATCACCGAGGCAGAGTGGTTTGATGACCAGGGAAAATAATCACTTTTCAGCAGGTCGTGCTGCTTTACCAAGACGGTTGGACCGCCGAATCGTATTGCGTTAGTTGCGACTACCTTTGAACTTGGCAGACGAGCCACAACAGATCCATTCACAGTCAATGCATTTAGATACCTACGTTCAACTTATGTACCCGAAAACTGATGGTAAGATTTAAGAAGCTACAAGGCGTGACCTAAAGGGCTGACTTACCGTTGTTGGACGACTGCGAGGGCCATCGTCTCATAACGTATCCATCACTGTCCTGTCGAGCAAAACAATGCACACATAACTCAATGCTCAAAAGTTGATGTTAACCCGCGCCCCGTAGGGCTATCGGCGGACCCTTCCACCCGTAGGGGGAGGGGGCCGTTTCGGCCCCCCTAAGATCTCGGAAATTTACCGGCCGATTTTCAAAATTCAAACGACGTTCGATAGCCCCACCCGGGAACTACCTTGTGAACAAATTTCATTGACCTAGATCAAACCGATGAAGTCACAGGTCAGGTCAAAGGTCAGATTTTCACCGTTCAGAGGCATTTCAAGAAATGTGTTTTGAAATCGAGTAAATTGGTAAGTTATTGAAAACCGTCGATGGTACATTGTTCGTCAAACACATACTTCGCTATCTGAGGTCACTGATACCAGGTCAGGTCACAGAGGTCAGGTCACTGGGGGTCACAATATGAAAGTGTCGTGTGATAGGTACATGTTTTATGGTCCATTTTACATGACAAATGCGATAATGTGGGTCAGGCAGCCTTTGGGGCCAGCTTAGGTCACGTTTTGGTGAAGGTCAGGTCCAGGTCAGGTCAAATTAGGTAAAATTTCAAAGTTGATATTTTTGCTTAAAATGGGTATTCATTCGATGCAACTCGTCACGGGGAGTCCAATGCTGGTCTTTGTTTTGCCCTACGTGGTCTAGAATTGCCAAAAATTGAGTTTGAAAATTTGACGTCATCATTTTTGAACACTTTTTCGCTATAACTTTGCCAAAAAACGAGATATCGATCTGAAATTTGGTACGTAGGGGAAGTTGGGGCAATGCCGGAGTTGGGGCAAAGCCGAAATTCGAGATATTTCTAAAACCGTACGACATGGATGCCACGTCTCAGTGATGCTCTGAAGCTTAAAGGGACCCTCCCACCTTAACATTAGATTTGAGTTGAGATAGCCAAATTGGTGGCCATGGCCTGAAAATACCGGTTTGGGCACTCACAACAACGAAAAATGCTTTAATTCGGAGATATCGAATTTCAAACTTGCAGTTTTCGGATTCTAAGGGGCTAATACATTGGTATGCCCCCTTAGAATTTGTGACGTCAGCGGAGATCTAACGATTTTAAATCTTTTACTAAAACGTTTGGTAGCACGCGGTGGTATATGCTGCTTTGCGCGCAACAAATGCCGCACTTTCAAATAAAGTCGCTAGGAACAGCGGAGATCCCAAAAAGTAAACAAAAGTTAAAGTCTAATATCTTGAAAACCGGTGAATATTTTTCGATGAAATTTGGTAGATATTCGTTTTTGCTCTTTCTGAACCGAGCGACATCACTTTCATGCCATTTCATTAACTTTTTTGAAGGTGGGAGGGTCCCTTTAAGTGACTACAATTATCGCATGTTTGTTACGAATCGTCATTTGGAATACTTCGGCTGTAAGGGCGCCAAAAGCGTTTTCAAGGTACGTTTCCCTTGTACTACATGCGCCTTTGAAGCTGCATTTCTTACTCATTATGCTACCGTTTGTCTGGCCAATTCGGTCAAGTAATCTTCAGCATGTCTTCCCAGCTAACAGGAAACGTTACTACAACGTTGTCACAACGTCGTGTTTCGGTAAGTTGCGAAATTACGTTTTAATTACGTTGTAGCAACGTTCTGAACGTTGTGAAGCCTTAGTTTGATCCGAAAGTCGTGGTAAAACGTTGTGACAACGTTTTATTGGTACGTTGTAGCAACCGCGCACTTGCAGCATTATATTTTGATAATGCATGGTGACATATATGGCCATATAATGCATTTCCTTTGACTTTCAATGCGCATATTCAGTTTTCATCGTTAACCCGCGCCCTGGTGGGGTCTGTTTATAACGCGACCTGGTGGGGGGGGGGGCTATTTTTTGCCCCCCCTCGTGTCTCCGAAACTACTGGACGGATCCGCAAAATTCAAACGGCGTTCGAAAGGCCTGTCAAATTTGTTGAAGGAAACCAAATTTCATTGACCTAGGGGTCACCGATGACGTCACAGGTCAGGTCAAAGATGAAATGTTTCACCGTTCACGGGTCTTCTAGGGAATGCGCTATAACACCGAGGAAAACGCATTTTGTCGAGAATCAGCGATAGGGCGTCAGTTGCCTAGTAGATATGTTGCTATTAGAGGTCACTGACAATACCAGGTCAGGTCACAGGTCAGGTCACCAAGGGTCACACTCACAGGTCAGGTCACATGAGCCCAACTTTAATAAGGTTGTGTGATGCATGTTTTATGGCCAATTTTTCATTTCCAACTCAATGGTGTTGGTTATAAGACTATCAGGTACAGCTTAGGTCACTTTCTGGTGAAGTTGAGGTCAAGGTCAGGTCAAGGTCAGGCCAAAAAAGGTCAAATTTTAAAGTTGATAGTTTTGCATAAAATGGGTATTGATTCGATGCAGCTCGTCACGGGGAGTCTAATGGTGGTCTTTGTTTTGCGCTACAGGGTCTAGAATTGCTAAAAATTGAGTTGGAAAATTTGACGTCATCAATTTTGAACAGTTTTTTCGCTATAACTTCGCCAAAAAAAGAGGTATCAATCTCAAATTTGGTATGTGGATGGAAGGCCGTAAGGAATATCACATATATTCCGGTTTTTGCAAAATTCAAAAAACTTTTTGGATTTTTCGATTATTATATCCAAAAAATATATTTTTTGATTTTTGGGGGTCAAAAACCAAGAATTTCAAAAATCCGAGATGGCAGTTTTGTAGCCCTGTCGATTCTTCAACTTTTATGTTTCTATCATTTTTCTGTATTTGCAAAGCTATAGGCCTGACAGCTCTGCCCGCGAAACCCTTTTTTGGGTCGAAAACGGCAGAACATGACGTCACTCTGACGTCATTTCCGGCCAACCTATGATAGCCTTTGGAAAAATTTTTGGTCACAATGTGTAAAATTGATGTCCGGGAGGGTACTGAAAGTTTGGTGACGATCAGCGCAGCGGTTCTGGAGATATATCGAAAAGTCTGGAGGGGGGGCAAAAAATAGCCCCCCCACCAGGTCGCGGGTTAAGTTTGACATGTTTTAACACTTGGACTGTTCACGTTGTCAGCTGGTGGTCGCCAACACGCTGTTAAAACGGGTTTTCACAACCTTGACATTATAGGTAGGTACTGAATAATTAGCGGAGCTTTTACAAGTAAATTCTGAAACCTTTCTCTCTCTATCTCTCTAATAGGTATATATATATATATATATATATATATATATATATATATATATATATATATATATATATATATATATATATATATATATATATATATATATATATATATATATATATATATATATATTCGAATAGTTCGGAAGCAGGTTCTCTTTTATGCAAGTTTTGTTAAACACAACAGCATAATGGGCACTTATCTTCTTCTTATTAAGACTTTCGAGGCGGCGAATGCACTGTCGAGGTTCGGGTTCGTGAGAATGTAAAATATTACCAAAAGATGTCATAAATACAAAATATCATAGCTATATTGTTGTTCGACGTTTCGATCTATCAGAGATCATTTTCAAGAAAATTACAGTCACACAGTTTTAGAAGTCATACTTTGAGATAAATGGGTTCAATTACATTTTTGGAACAGATATTACGGATATGATACTAAAACTATTCAGTCGATGAGTCACAGCATTCAAAACAAAATAACACACTTTTGTTTTCGTACATGAGCTATAACCCTAAACACATTCGTACTAAACACATTCGTACTAAACACATTCGAATGTGTTTAGGGTTATAGCTCATGTACGAAAACAAAAGTGTGTTATTTTGTTTTGAATGCTGTGACTCATCGACTGAATAGTTTTAGTATCATATCCGTAATATCTGTTCCAAAAATGTAATTGAACCCATTTATCTCAAAGTATGACTTCTAAAACTGTGTGACTGTAATTTTCTTGAAAATGATCTCTGATAGATCGAAACGTCGAACAACAATATAGCTATGATATTTTGTATTTATGACATCTTTTGGTAATATTTTACATTCTCACGAACCCGAACCTCGACAGTGCATTCGCCGCCTCGAAAGTCTTAATAAGAAGAAGATAAGTGCCCATTATGCTGTTGTGTTTAACAAAACTTGCATATATATATATATATATATATATATATATATATATATATATATATATATATATATATATATATATATATATATGTTGCAGGCACTTTAGAAAATCAGTCATTTTGTAAAATGCCTAGGCATTTTGCAAAATGCCTGATTTTCCAGGCTTTTTGCAAAAAGCCTAGGCATTTTACAAAATGACTGACTCTCCAGTCATTTTGCAAAATGCCTAGGCATTTTACAAAATACCTAGCCATTTTACAAAATGACTGAGCAGCGTGTTGTAGATACGAGTACCTAATTATATACGTTTTGGTATCGTGTAGGTGGACCGAGGAGTCCAGCATTATGACCAGAGGAGTCCAGCAGTGGGAAGTCCATACCTACCTCTATTTTGAGAAGTGCAGGCCCGTGACATTTCCAACCCCCACGTCAGCGACGCTGCTGGATTTAAAATGATCGATCTGGAGCGTCAACAAACGACTGGCCCTATGCCGGTCTGTATCTGTAAAACTATTAGAGCTCGCGAGGATTCCATCCCACACACTTAGGCGTTACTGTCTTCTGAAACCAACGCTCTCGTCCTACGCCAAGCGACCTGATGATTCTCCCGATGTGGAGCTTGATATTTTTAACTGGGACCATGCAAGTAGGTACTCAAGCTGTTGCCACAGAACAAAATTAATCGTGTTTTGTTAATTATTGCTTTAATGTTCATTGTGATCAGAGAGCGTTTACAGCGTTAACTAAACAATGCTTAATGCTACAGCCGAGTCTGCAACTCAACCTGGTCGTTACTCAGCATTGTCGTCATCACATGGAACTTCAAATCGATCAGCTACAGGCTGAACACGTACCTATAGGGTGTAGGAAGACGTCCAAAAACTGTTGGCCATAGTATCTGAAGTGGGATCTACGTTCCATGCTGGTCAGGCATTTTG